ATTCACTGGCATGTTACTGACGCAACAGAATCTTTACATTTCTGGTAGTCATCATGAAAAAATCAGGGGACAAGTCAAGTTATTGTGAGCATGTTAGGGAAATTGTACAAATCAGTTATGTGTGCTACAACTGGTAGAATGAGGAAATATTTTTTGTGTATTCCAAAAACATGTTCTTCCATTTCAGGTGGTGCTTTTTGTCGACCAAAATCATTTATGATAGACGCATGTATCTAAGAACATGTTTTTTCCTGGGACAAGAAGCAAAAACATTGCCCTACAATGAGTCACATGATCTGATGAATCATCCATGAACGCTACTTTTAATATTAATCAGAAAATATATACTAATAATAGTAATTTTTATTTTACATCTGTCACTATAACGTTGTAAGTTACAGCGTTGCCGTACTTTTGCGGTATTTTACGGGGAATTTTCATCCTACCATATTAGGAAATGCAAATTCCAGATATGAAATGACTATGAGCATAGACCCACACAAAGAAGTTTGCTGATTCTGTTCTAAGCTTTTTGGATTTCGGCATTTCTATGAATTATCCTTGGAAGGAAAAGATGTATAATAATAAGGTTATTACAAGGATACCTCAAAGTATGCACTCAGCCAGTACGCTGTTGCATCGGCCTTCGCTGCACATTGGTCAATACTTACGCTGTACTGTCTTCGTGCATATTTTGAGGTATCTTCGTAATAACCTTATAGTATATAGCAATAAAAAAATATATTCATTGACTGTAAAGGGGGTAATTATTCACTGGGATTTAATTTAGCTTATTTCGCTGACTGGAAAATGCGACAATTTAAAACCCGGTGAATATGTAAAATTTAGCATAGAACACATCTAAATGATGAAACCGTGAATTTAAAACCCACTGAATATGCCTGAAATGGTATCAGGATCAGGGCTGTATATTGAGCAGCTCATCTATCAAGCAAGTAACACTTTCACTGATTGGTTATTGTTAAATTAGTATTTGTAACAGCTTACCTGATTGGGTACACAATGTATCATAAGCAGCTACTGCATTGGTTTCAAATGCAGGTCTTGTGTAATGTGTTAGCAATATTCTTTGATACGCCTTAGTAACTTTACTTGGTTTATTGTCACTGATACCTTCAAAACTAAATACTAAAACATACATTTTTTCAATTTATACTATTCGAATACGTTTTAAATTAATATATTTGTACTTGAGATGAGTGGCACACAGCAGCTCAAGGCAAAGCATACAAACAGTGAAAGAGTAAAAAGAAATATATATTTAATTTGTCATTTTGGTAATACTTTTTTCACGTTGTCCTTTCTCATAATTCAACAATATTATTGGGCAAAGACCAAAGTGTTTTGCAAAGTTGCAAGTCATTTTGCTAACTGCCTGTCCGAATAATTCTCAGAACAGCTGTAATATCTTTGCAATATGGGCCATTAACCACCAGTGACTCTTTTCAAAAAATAATATAGAGCACCGTCAGCAATAAAAGTCTGAATTGAATGCGACTTGAATCGAACATGAACATCAAACTTGATGCTCTCATTTCAAATCCAATAGTCACGTAGATCACCAAAATGTGACAAGAGAATAGAACAGTATTTTAGGCAAAAACCAGTCTTGTGGTTCTGTCACTCTCAACAAGATTTTTGCAACCATTTACAAATAAATCTATTCTCAATCACGTAATCTCAGATGACAGACAATGTTTTTTTAATATTTAATAGACATTTAGATTTTTTTCGATAGACTTACTACTCTGCAAGGTATAAAACAGGGTCTTCTGGACGGTTTTCTATCATCTTAGAAAGAGCATCCCGAATCTGACTGCTAACATTTGTTCTTTCTGTGAAGAAATTAAATAATTAAAATCCATGGTTACCAATAAGTACTGCTGATTTAAAAACTATGTACCAATTTGAGGAGAGTCTACAACTGAATTAGGTTACTGTAAAATACTTTATTTTAGCTGTAAAGACATTTTGGGTGTTTTGTATGGAATTTATTTTCACTGATTTTTGATAAGTTGAATGTAAAATATAGGAAAAAAGGTATATCCGCTGGATTTTATTTTCACTGAATCATTCCTTCAGCGAAAATAGCGAAAATTAATTCCAAGTGGAAATAAAGTATTCTACAGTATTATGACTGATGTAGAAACCAATAGAGAGCATAGCTAATGCACCCTGATGTTAAATTAAGCTAAGCTGACACACATTTTTATAACTAACTTTTTAAATAAATTTGGCTAATGTTTTATTAATTGCAGCATTGCCATTGCTTATTATAGTTTTAAATTTATTCTATTACATCAGAGGGTCTATGATTACATGTATGTCAGTTTTTCAAATTTTTTTTTCTTTTTTTCATATAATTCATTATTCTGGTCATTGTGAAAGAACATGACGCTACAAAATAGTATTCGTCTTTATCTTCGTTCTTGTTTGGACCACAGTCTGGGGCAGTATGAGGGGGCAATCACAGTCTGTGGGGCAATCAAGGTCACTACTGTGTCGAAGTCTGTATGCAGATTTTGTTGCTGGCAGCTGTGATCTGCTAGTAAATGAAGCCATTCATGGGTAACGATTACGGTAAGTTCGTCAAGGAATCGGGTGGGGTGTCTGGGTCACAGTAGTGACCACCACGGTCGTGGACACGACTTGCAATCGATTATTGTGTTGTCACAACAACCACCACGTTGTGATGGCGATCGGCTTTTTGTTTTCTGGATGTCAATGCTAAGTTGTTATGCCTGACTCGTACATGCTGTGTCTAGAAATTCTCAATATACACTCACCGAGAAATTCTCTGTTGCTTTCCGGTCTGTCGGCGTCCCTTAATCGAGCTGCCATAGTTCGAGCAGTCAGCCGGCAGCTAACTGCAGGTATTTCACAGCGGTGCAAAAAGCAAGTTGTTAACCAATTGCTGATTGGTGCGTCGCGTTGTTAACTGGTTTTTTATTGGCTCAGATTTGTGTAAGCGTGAATGGGCTTCTGGGTTAATGTTTTGCGCATTCCCGGAAGTAACCGTACAAACACGTTTTTTGATGTCAGCGCAACTGCATCAACAATAGAAGTGTACTTCAATATAAGTGTTCGAAAAGTACAATATTTGAAAGTACAAAATACCACCCATATTTCTGACCTCATTGTGCTATTTCAATTTGAATCGAAGTAAACACAAATAGCAAATCATAAAGAACAACCTCTTGTTCAACACTACAACGAAAATTAAAAATATTTCAAACCTCAAAATATACTCGAAGGATTTTTTTAATATAAGCAAAGAAAAGGAATTAAAAAGGAGGCAATTTAAAAAAAGAAGAAGAAACGCACCAATAAACCCGTTTCATGACGTGACCACTGCTCAGGATGTCAATGGACCAATTTTAATGGGCGGTGGTCATCACGCCGCGTCCTGTTCGACATGGGACTCGTAACGACGTATACAACGCGTGTAAAATACATTATTTGTTTACATAAAAATCGCTACGACGAACAGCCTATTGAACAGTAAAATAAGGAAAGACAATTAAAGAATTAATACACAACGATGCAACTGCAAATAATAAAAAATGGAATGAAATTCAAAAACATTGTCAGTCAATTTTTTATATAAAATATTTATGAATGTTAATGAATTTTAAATGACGGGTGAAAACAACTAAATCAATCACATCGCGTTTACTAGAGATGCATGACAGCCAATGAATGAAGGAAGCCCGCAAGTATCCATGGCAATAGAAGCAAATTCTTTGAATTTGAATGAAGTGCGATCTTCCGGGGTAAACGTTTTATAAATATTTTCATAAAAGCCGTTTATTCGTTCTTTAATTTAGCAATAACCCAGTTCTTAGGTCGCCGGCATTCATGGCAATAACTAAAACAGTAACACAATCTACGAGAATAAAACAAATCGTAACTAGACAACTTAACAGCATTAGAGTAGCATTAATATGTAATGGAAAAAAAATCAAAGCGATTATGACAAATACAGAAAAAAAAAAGAAAGATCTATTGACAGTGAAGTAAACAAGGTGGATATACATTTGTTCTTTATTAATAAATTACTTCGTCCGGCAATAGTGTATGAGTGGTATTATCCCAGAGGCCCACATATGTGTTCTCCTCCTCGTTACCGGCAAGGAGGCAGCAAAAATGAACATGGCAGCTGGAGGTAATGCCATTCATACACTATTGCCGGGCGAACTTATTTATCAAAAAAGAACAAATTATATCTGTTTTTTACAATCTCCCACAAACAGCATAGTTTTCAATCCTGCTTAACATGAATAGCTAACGCGTGTAACCAGTCCAACATGCGAACATTTCCCAGACATAATAGTTTTCAAACCGGCCTAATATAAAAAGCTAACGTACGTAACATGTGGCTATAGTGAA